TTATTAGCCGGCAGATTTTGCTATGTAAAATTCCGTCCCAAGCTGACTTGGGTTTAGTACGCGGCTGGGCTTATTAGCCGTGGGCTTAATAACCGGCGACTACTGTATAACGCACTTGCCGCAGTGAACTTTCGGACCTGGGGTTATTCAGTTTGATTTCAAATTTTCCCCAGAAATACTTTTAATTCAGTCCAGCAGGGAGGTATTTTCGTGGCCAATCCTTGATTATGTTAGTAAGCGTAAACTAATTGCATGCAACAGAAGGACCATATAAAAGTTCAAGTTCGAAACCGAACGTGAGGTGAGGAGAAAAGTTAGATGAGTAGAGCGTACTAGGGCATGTCAGATTTAGAAGTTTAGAAAGCCGGTCTATGATCTAGTCGGTTCTGTTGATGAACATTTTTTAAAGAGTAGAACAATCAAGGTTCAAATCATAAGAGGTGGCCTTGAAACTCTTCTGGGAGACTGCAGGTGGCAACAAGGACGAGAAAAGGCCAACGGTTATACCGAAAATTACCTTGCCATCAGAGTCTAGGCGGATTGCAGAGCCGAAGTCGATCAACTTCAAGTGTCCACTTCGTTCGATTGCAAAGTTTTCGGGTTTAATATCACTGGAACGTAAAGTGGAATTGCATAAACAGAAAATAAGGCAGTATTATCATGGTCGGTGGCAGGCACTTGGTGGTCTACGATACTTACAAGTCAGTTAGACCATCTATGAGATATTGTAGGAGTCGAGTCTTACCAGTGAATGTAGCCCATTTGGTGAAGTGAATGAACAGCCTCAACCACTTCAGCCGCGTAGAACTCAATCATCTCAGGGTCCAGAAGGTGTGCTGTCCTGATAAGAAACCAAATAAAAATTTGGTGGTATCAGATAGGACTCGAAAAATTCCGTGGAACGGGGGGGAGGGAGGCATGTGTGCGTACTTACTTGCTCAAGAAAATGTACATATCTCCACCAGGCTCGTAGTCCATGACCAAGTGGAGCTGGGTTTCATCCTGGAATGCGTAGTACAGGTGGGGCAGCCACGGATTGTCGATCATGGCGGCCTGTGCTAGGACGGTACGTTCCAGCAATAACTGTGCTCCTTCCTAAAAGTGAGCGGCAACCACACAAGACAACGGCCATAATAATCGGAGAGAGAGGTGGACAGGAAATATTAGCAAACTGGTAATATAAATAATCCCGATGACAGCCTGAAAGACAGTAAAAAATGTTTTTTTTAACAGTAACAATACGGTTTCGTGCTGCAATACTCTTTATTTCCAGGACTTCGACGGGGCAAAAGGCCTACATAACTAATGTACAAGAAATGGAAACGGGGCTCTACTATACAGTTCGCGAAAAGAACTATAGCACAATAGCAGACGCACATCATGAGGCTGCCAAACCCATTATTCGAATCAGGTACGGGTGCTGTAATGGCAAGACAAGCTAAGGACGTAGAGTTGTCGAGGTAGACAGCTCCAGTTATATCACATAACAAGTGTATGCCCAAAATCCGCAAAAATGACTGCAAAGTCTGCTAGCAAAGTTTACAATAGCTACCTGGGCGAAGAACTCAATTCCTCAGAGAAGGCTGCTATAGCGGAAAGCTAGCAACGATCCTTGGTGCGTAAAATCTAACCCCACCTCCACGCTGGTGCGCGCCGGAAACTTG